ACCTCTGAGAAGCCCTGCCCATCAGTACCTTGAGGTGCCTCAGTATCCTGAGCTTGCTGCACAGGTAGTGAACACATCCAACCATGTCAGCAAGCCCTGTATGAACCAACCACAGCCTGATTATACATTCAACAACTGGTGGACAACTACTGAGGCTATGTCTCAGTCAGCTTTTTTGATTTGCTTTTATTTTTATTAGTACATGTTTGTAGTGCATAATGTTTATCTTCCTTGTGGGGAGTCAGTACATGTACATAACATATCTTAATTCCCTTTTCCATCCCCTTCTCCCTCTATCGCTTGATCCCCTTCCCATTAAAGATCTATCTCCCTACTTCCTATTATCTATCTTTTATTTTGCTCTTTATTTATAATTTGGGTTTCTCACATAAGAGAAATCATGTGCTATTTATGCTTCCATCTCTGATTTATTTCACTTAATATTATGATCTCAAGGTGCATCCATTTTCCTACAAATGACTAGTTTACCTTTCTTTATGCTCAGGCAGCCTTTGAATAGAATTTAGTAACTTAATTCTAAAATATATGTGGAGGACAAAAGTACAACAGTGGCCAGATGGAAACTTCTATGAGTGTGGATTTCACAAACATGACTTACTAAAAGACATGAAAGCATATTTATACAGATATGACAATTAAAAATGTGGACTTAGAAAAGGCAAGGAAATCAACCAAATAGAATTTAAAAGTCTAGAAACAGACCAATGTGTTTAAATAAAAGTGAACATTTTAACAGTCCTTGCCACAGATTGCACATGAATTTGAAAACAAATAGACAAATAAAAACTGAAAGTAATCAAATATACCTGGGCAAGGCTTTCCTATGAACAATGCAAAATGCAGAAGTGATGAGTGGAAAAACTGAAAGTTTAAAACCATCTGCACAATGAAAACCAAAAATGTAAAAGGTAACCAATACAGTAGAAAGAAAAAGTGTTCACAGATTCTTTAAATGTGTACAGATCAATAAGAATAAGATAATTTCAGAAAGCTGAGCCAGTGAAACTGAATGAGTGTTACGGGAAGAAGATATACAAACACTAATTACATTTTTTTTGGTATCAGGGATCGAACTCGGGTCCTTGCGCTTGCGGGGCTGGCGGCAGAACCACTGAGCTAAATCCCCAGCCTGATAGTTACATTTTGTAAATGTTCAACTTTACTCACAGTTAATACATTACAAGTATACACTGTGACAAAAGTTTGAAGCACTCTTGTGTATGAGGTGTGATCTAAAAATACAGTGAATATTTAAATTTTTAAAAAATGTATTACAGTGCAAAACACATTGCCATGAATTCCCCTCAAAATTCTTACCTTTGCTTCAAACACACTTTCTCCTCATCCTTGGGACTTTCTGAAGCTGCTCTGGAATGCTCTTGCCTGAGTATCTGGAGTTGCTCTGTTGTAGCTACTTCTGTGTTCTGACCTAAATTGATTCAAAACCTTTAACTTTCATGGTCATTTTGACTTTGGGGAAAAGCCAGAAGTCACACACCATCAGATCTGCTGAATAAGGGGGATGAAGACACACTCTAATGTTTTTATGAGCTGCCTTTCCATTGGATGGCACTTCGCAGCAGCATTCACCATGTTTTTTTTTTAAATTGTACGTCATACAGACACACACTCACAAAGATGACTAGAATTGCTTCAGGAAGTGCTAAGAACAACGGCATAAGTACGTTCAAATAGAGGGAGAGTATTTTGAGGGGGATTAATAGCAATCTGTCTTTTACTATAATTTTTTAATTTAACACACACACCATATTTTTCAATCACTCATTGTATTTTTTTTGTAAATATGTATATTTCTTGACCTACTAACACTTCTGTTACCTAGCCCCTTGTGTCTACAAAAATGTCAAAATACAAATATTGTGGCATTAAAAACTAGAAATTATTAAAACGTTCATCAAGAGGAAAATGGTTAAACAAAATACGACAAACCGTACTACAGAATATTATTCAGCTCCTTAAAACAGCAAGTGAAAGACTGCAGACTAATATGGAAAACAATATCCGGAAGAGGATTATAAAATATTATACACTCTGTGATTCAAAACATGTAAAAAATGATTCACATATACATGCTTGCACGTATTCATCAATGCAGAGAGAAATAGCTTGAAGGCTGCATACCCATTTCCAAAAAGTGGATCTTTATCATATCGACTTTTCTATAGTTTAGATATTCACAAGACTGTATCACTTGACTGATAAAATTTTGTTGGAAAAAAAAGTGAGGAAAGCCAACGACTGGCCTTTCCTTTGACTCTTGAATCTTAATAAATACAATTTATTCTCAACATTTGTGATCAGTTCTTGGTGGTCACCATCACGTCATATTGGCTTTCAGCCATAGACCACCCCTTATCTGTCATGTCTGATGCCCAGTATGACCCTGCAGAGGAGATATATTATCTTCACTTCTTGGATAAGAAATCTAGGGTTTCAGGGATGTCACACAACAGCTCAAAGACTCACAACACACCAGGGATTAGAATCAGGACTGCCTTGTTTCAAAGTCTGTCCTGATTTCTTCCACAACTCCATGGCTCTCAAAAGACACAGCATGGCTTGCAGTCACACAGCAGGACTCTAGGGATGCTTTCACACCTGCTTGGCACAGAGACTCATCCACACTGGAGCTGAAACCACAACACTCAGCTGGTTGGTCTTCCCCTAGGTATTCTAAAGTCAAATTACCATAGGGTGTTACCTGGGATACCACTATAATCACATGTTTATACATACATACATATGGACATGTACACATACATTCATACATATACAAACATTTATTATCAGAATCTCAGATTCTCTGCACATCAAAAATAATTATGTTGAATGGAATAATGATGCATCCTTACATTTTCTTATCATTTCACATTCAGCTCTTGATGCTATTTGACACTCAACCTGCATCAGGCAGGCAACACAGATGCACTATGTTCCTCAGATGTGTTCCTCCAGCTCCTTCCCATATCCTCTGGTGTAGGGTGCTCACCAATCTACTACACTTGGTGTTTTAAAAAATAAACCAGCTCTAGGCTGGTTTCCCTCTTTGCTCTTTGCTCTGTGGTCACTTACTCCTCCCCATTTGAGTTCCCGGAAGTAGTCTCAAGAGAAGCCTGGCTATCTATGTTCCAAGCACAGTAATCAAGCTATCCATGAATTCTCAAGGCTCCCTGCACTTCCTTGCCACCCTCCACACTTTCTGCCTTTCCCTGGGCTACCACCATTCTCTCAGAAAAACTACCCTTCTGCTGAGACAATGGCCACTGAGTGACTTCAAGGGATTCTCACTCTGTAGTAGATTTCAAACCGTCAACCACACCCAGTAGATACCAATGACATCCAGAAGGTGGAAATTGGAGGGCAAATGAGCCTTTTGCCAATTTAACACAGTCCATTCTATTTTGATCACTGTAGTTGCTGTTTTAGTGTTGTACAGTTAAAGTGAAAGTGCACAAAACAAAACACCATCAGAACCCTCCCATGCAGGGGCTTCTGTGTTTCATGGACTGTATTAATCAGCTTTCCATTGCTGGGAGAAAATACTGACTACACAATTTATGAGAAGAAAGGCTTATTTTGGTTCATGATATCAGAGGTGTCAGCCCGTGGCTGGTTGGTTGGTTCCATGGTAGAAGAGCATGGTGGAAGAAAGCTGCTTACTTCATGGCAGCCAAGAAATAGAGAGAACAAGAACCAGAACCTTCAAAGGATTTTCCCCCAGTGACTACTTCCTCCAACTAGCCCCCACCTGCTAATAGCCCTGATGAGGTCACCACCTTAAGATCCAGCCACCTCTCCAGGCATCTCTTAATCCAATCAAGCTAGTAGTCAAGATTAAGTGTTACCTTGACTTAAAAGAAAAAACACATACTTAACCATCTCCAAAGCCAGTTGTTAGTTATCTTTGTTAGCCATCCCATATTTGTGGAGGTTTTAGAAATCAGTTTATTCACAGTTGTCTTATGTCCACAGGGAATACATCCCAGCTATATGCACAAACTCCTCTCTGGGTTTATGACTTGTGTTCATGTCTAGTAGCTCTCAGAGAACTTCTGTGGGTTCCAATTATCAACCAGAGAAAGATTCTCTAAAGGTTAGTTAAGTGTATTTAGGAATAGTATTGCATTGCAATGGAGATATATATGTCACAGTAAACTATGTGGGCATACAAGAAGTTTAAAGAAAGGGGAAGACTATTGAAACAAAATGAGGAGGGTTCTACAAAATATTTTGAAGCAGTAATTCTTGACGTATAGCTTGTATCTAGATGTCCCCCCAAAGCCTCATGGGCTCCTAGGTGGGGCTTTTCCAAGCTGGCCGGATCTAGGGTTTGTGATACTGGGATTAAGGGTTGTGTGGTAATAAATTAGTCCACTGATTGGAATTAGCATAGTTCTGGGTGTGGATAATGGAAGCCCCACTTTGGGTGTGGGTGGCATTAATCATTAGGCTTATATCCTGGATGGAATATACAGGGAGAGAGGGAAGCAGGCGGCTGCTGCTGCTTGCTGTTTCACTGTTTCCTTTCTGCCCTGCTATGGACTATTTTTCCTCTGTGATGCCCCTCTGCCAGGCCAACCTTCCTTGGAGCCACCTGACTATGGACTAAAACCTCTATAAACTGTGAGCCAGAGTAAACCTTTCTTCCTTTAAGTTTGGGTGTTGGGGTTTTTGTCTCAGCACAAGCAAAGTAAGACAATTGGCTACAAGGATCACTAACAAGGGTGGCATCCATCCAAGAGTGAAGAGGCAGTTCAGTGTCCTTGCAGAATTTTCTGTGTGAGGTTGCAGTGGCCTTTGTGCGCCTTTATGATTCTGGCAGAGACTTTTGTGACAGTTCTTGTCATCAGGCTCCTGTGTGTGAGATCATCTCCTTCACTACCTCCTTCTTCCCTCCTTCTCTAGCTCCCTCTTTTCCTTTTCTTTCCTTCCTTCTTTCTCTCCTCTCCTCTCTTCTTCTTCCCCTTCCTTTTCCTTTTCCCCTTGCCTTCTCCCCACCTTTCTTCTTTGTTGATTAGGGCTTGACAACAATAACTCCATTTGGATTCTGATCATTTCACACAATAAATCAAGAAAGTCAAGTCAATACCCATGATGAAAAGCTGGAGAAAGCATTACTGTTCCTAGTCCTCTTAGGAAAAGTATTCACAGTTCATTTGGAAGGAGAGTCCCCAGCACTGGTGTGGGAGTCAGGTGAGTGTCAAGGGGAGAGGAGAGGAAGAACATGGGACTTCCAGGTGTGTGTAAGTCTCAGACCAAGCAGACCTGCTCTGGGCCTTGCAGTCTGCACTGTGCAAGCCAACAGCGAGCCCTTCCCCTGCCTCCCTCTGTAGAGCTGGACCTTCTTCTAAAGGCTCACTAGACAAACAGTGCAAACTCTACACACTTGGTCCAGCCTATTGCTCGGGTTTATTTGGTCTATGTTGCAATCTGTTGGGGTTACTGTTAAAAAAAAAGGCCAGAGGGCTGAGGATTTAGCTCAGTGCTTCCGCCGCCTGCTTCGCAAGCATAAGGTACTGAGTTTGATCCCCGGTACCAAAACTAATAAATAAATAAATAATTTTAAAAGGCCAGAGACTGGGAATTTATAAATAGTAGAAATGTACTTCTCATGGTTTAGGAGGCTGGGAAATCAAAGATGGTGGTGGCAGCAGATTTGAAGTCCTGTTCCACAGATGGCTTCCTTACACAGCACCGGTATGTGGCAGGAAAAGAGGAAAGGACAGAAGGGACAGTCAGGCTCCTCACACAAGGGCACTAATCCCATGCACAAGGGTGGAGTCCTCCTGACAAGGTCGCCTCCCAAAGAACACACTTCTTAATAGCGTCACCTTGGGAGTTATGTTCCAGCATGAGGACTGAGAGGCACGTTCAGAGCACAGAAGCATCTAGGTGAACACATCAGCCGCTCAACAGATGAATCACTGGCTTGTCCTTGTGTGTGCCTCCCTGCAGAGATCTGCTCAGACTGGGCCTGCACTGGTGTGATCACAGAATGGTCCTTCCCACAGGAATCACAGTCTTGTGCACTTGGGGACTACACACACCTCATCTTGGAGGAGTCACACACTTGGGGTCAGCGCATGATCCATTTTTCGGCTTTTTTGTAGTAGATTCACAGATACATGGCTTCTTTCTGAATGTACAGAAAAAATTCCTCTCACCCCACCCACTCATTGCCCAGGCCAGCAGGACCTGTCTTTCAATTCCAAAATCAAACATGCCCTAGAAGACACCTCACCCTGCCCCTGGGAGAGACAATGGGGATCAGCAAGTGGGGATGTGTTTCACTTGATTAAGAGGAACTCGTGTTTAGAAAACCTTGTCAGAGACAAGGAAGCAGAAGCTCAGAGGGCAAGAAGCAGTGGTGTTGTCTACAATTTGGGTTGGATCCTGGGCATGCACTTTCTTATTTCTTCTATCCTCTTAACCCTTTTACTTATTTCTTGTTCTTGTCTACCCTCTTATCTACTTCCTGCTTTATTCATTTTCCTTCTTAAATTTGAAAAGCAACTTTTTCTCTTTTATTTTGAAACAGGGTTTCGCTAAGTCACTGAGTTCTGCAGGCTCTGCTTGAACTTAGACTCTTCCTGTTTCAGCCACCTAGATTGCTGGGATTACAAGGATGTGCCACTGTGCTCAGTTTCATTCTTTCATTGTCAATTCTACCCCCTCTCCAGTTTGTCTGTGACTTAGTATCGAATGTATTGACTTTCACCAAATCAGAGCCATTCCCAAGCTAGCATACCCTGGAAACACACACATACACGAAACACTCACATGCACATGAACATCTTTGGGCATTTCCTTACATCATGGTGCTGGGAATCTACACCAGGACCACCAAGAGCCCAGACAGAATTACGGTGATCATAGTATTAAAGCAAAACCCCCAGCCTTATAAATATTGGTGCACTATTAGGGAAAAAAGTGATTTTTTTTTTAAAGCTGATCGCGAGTGGGTAACCCAGGCATACGATAACTGCTGGCTTGGTGTTCTCCATGAAGCAATCTTTCTTAAGGCATTTCAGCCAACCTCTATGTGTCTCCTGAATATTTGAGGATGCCTATAATTGGCTATGAAGAATCCTGGACAGACCACATTATCCTGTTGATGATGGCCACAGGTTCAGCTCCCCAGGAAGCAGATCAATGATCAACATAAATGATGGCTGATGTTTTCAGCACTAGCTTTGGGATGTCTTGTGTGCAGCAGGGTTGGAACATGTCTCTGGAGGTGATCTGGGGCATCCTCTTAGTTCTGCATCTTCCTAATCCCACAGGGGATGTCCTTATAGCCCAGTTCTGATCCTCCTTGGGCCATGATACTCACAAGACCATAGACGTAATAAAATATGATCTACTTTATACACACAAGAGGCCAAACATTTGGCTCCAAAAAAGTCCTGCTAATGTAAAGAGCATAAGTAATCATAGCTTCATATTCTTGGTGCACATTTTAAAACAATTTCAAATGGAAATTTGTAATTAATATTATGCCCATGTGTTATATAATAATTAATATATAAGATAGTGGTGTTTACTATGGAAACATCTCCTGAAGCTTCTGGTAGCAAATAATACCAGGTCACATCTGCTGGCAGGAAATAAATGCATAGGACCTGGATTGAATTAGAATCACAGGAGTTGATACCATTGTAATATCATGTGATACTGTGTAGATCTCCCCTGTACACTGCATATCCTGTCATGTGACTGCCAGTATCTGATTCTCATGTTGGCACAACATGGAAATTTGCCAGTCTTTCTCAGGACAAACAGGTAACTTTTTTTTTTTTACTCATTTTTTTATTTTGATTTTTATTAGCACATGTTTGCAGTGCATAATGATTATATTCATCATGGGGAGTTAGTGCACACACATAAAAACTCTTAATTCTTTTTACATCCCCTTCCCTTCCCCTCACTCCCCGCTCCATCCATCTAATAGGACACTGTGCAATTATTGGTCTTCATATGCAGGAGAATGAAGATACTGGATGGGACATACACAATAACCCTGTTATGTGGGTGAAGGGGCTTCACAGACTCTTTCCTTTCAGGAGAGTGGACTTACACTATGTGGGAGTGACCAGGGGAGTGACAGGCTCCTAAAATAAAGGGAGAGTGTAATTGCTGCCTCTTCTGTGCCTTCCAGCTCTACCAGGGCCACAGCTGCATGGTCCTTGGGAATTTTGCCAACCGCTTAGACCACATGGATGACCAGATACTCAGTGCCTGGCAGAGGATGACTGGACTTGCTGCTGCAGTTAAGAAGAGGTACAAAGCCCTGGTGGCTGACAGGCCACATACTCTGCTGTGACCAGGGCCTTTGTGTGCTCACATGGTAGGATCCAGGAGAGGAAGATGCTGGCCTCATCATCCTGTGTCTCAACTGTTACTCTGCAGTTTGGTTCAGAGACTGTCCAACTCCTGGCACTCAAGCATATCACTCAGACCAATTTTTCTTACTCAGCTTCTACAATAGACTGACTTTTCCAAGAATGACTCCAACAGTGTGTGCCAATCCCCAGGTTTACCTGCAATTTGATGGTCAGACCCTCTAACTGCTTTGTGTGACAGAGTGGGACATTGTGCTGCTCATGGGCCTAGTCCTTACCTGGCAGGCCCTCCTTGTTGGACCTCAAATTAAGCATGGTTATCCTGGGGTCTCCATGCTGTGATCATCCATGCTCCTTTGAGAGACCCCAGAGGAAGAGGATGACCCCTACAGAAGGAGCAGCAAGAGACAGAATCAAGTCACTAGACATGAAAAGGAGTCAACTTGGAAGTAGATCTTCCAGACCCAGCCACGTGGAGCAGAGTTGAACCACCTAGCCAAGCCCTTTGCAGACCCAAATCCACAGAAACATGAGTGTTAAGCCATGAAGCTGCTTGTTTACACAGGAATAGCTAACTGGAACCTGTTCAAATGTCTACCCCAAATCTTGTTAACCCCAACCTTCTATGAAAGATGCTTCCTATTAACCTACTAGGCTCTCCATCTTCTAAAAGAAGCACAGACAGCTTGACTGTGGCATTTATAGAGAAACACCATGCTTGCTCCATTACCCTAGACCAAGACACTACTTTGAGAGCCAAACTTCTATAACATATACGTCATTATTTTATAACAAAGTTGCCCATGCTTTCTGAACCAAAACCCATGCTCATGGTTTGACAATTATAAGTGCAACTAGGAAACACCACTACATATTTGAATTTGGTACTGCCCTAGAAAATATGAAAAACATGGGGTGTATCCCTAATGTCTGCCTTGTTTTATGAATAAAACTTGGGCAACTTATGCATCCTCATAAAGCCCCCTTACTCTAATCTCCTCACTGGTAATAAAAATCCTATTTCCTCCATAGATAAAGGAGGTTGAATGAGATAGCTCATATACAGTCATCAAAGTGCTCGGCCCGTTATTGAACTGCTCCAAAAATATCGACTAATTATTATTGTTATTTCCATCTCTTTGTAACCTTTTCAGGCTGTCTTAAATACAGTGAGTGTTCAACAGATAATTGTTTATAGAAGTTAGAGTTGTTGATTGGGGTTTAGGGTATATTCCCTTTCTACTCCTGTGTAAAAAATTAGTGTAAATGTAATGGCTTCAGGAAAAATCCTTAATTATCTCATAGTTCTGTAGATCAGAATTGCAGGGTATAAAACTAGGATCTATACTTTAGAGCTCTCAAAGCTGACTTGAAACTGTTGGCTGAATTTGGCTCCTGTTTGGAGGCTCTGAGGAAGAGGCTGCTTCTAAATTTACTCAGGTTGATGGCAGAATTCCTTGCTATTGCTTGACATCCATCATCCAGGGACCACTCTATGCTCCTACAGGCCACTGGCATTCTGTGTGCTGTGACTCTATTTTCAAAGCCAATAATGGTGCTTCATATATGTCTCCCACTTGACTTTCTCTAACGCCTGCTTTTAAAGGGCTTGTGTGATTAGGTTAAGGCCCGCCGAGATTATGTCCCCATCTTAACCTCAACTGACTAGTAACTTTACTCACATTAGCAAAATACCTTTTCTGTACAACTTACTCGTGGGAGCAGCACAGGGGGAAAGAGTATGAGGGCACCGTACAATGCTGCCTACCACACTCCCAACCCTGGCCTCGTGATTCACCTTCCTCTCACCTGTTTCATCCACTCCCTCTTATGCTTTGTAACAGTCTCATCACATTAGCCCAGTAGTTAAAAAACCCAAAATCGCACAAAAATTTCATCTGTTCAAAGATCTAGACCACATCACCTAATCATTCAATCCAATGTGGATAAAGCTCCTGAGTGTAATTCATAAAGAGATTCTTGGGGCACAGTTTCTATCCACCTGTGGACCTGTGAACCTGGACAGGAGGTATTTCTTCCAATATGCTCAACTTACAATGGCAGAGAGGATAACAGCTATGGACAGTCCAGTCCAAGAATGGAAGATACAAAGGAATCACCTATTTAATCAGTTGTAAAAACCAGATGAGCAAAATCCTCTAAGTCTCAGGCCTGGAAACCTGTGTCTCAAGGGCCTGGGCTTCCACCTCCACTCTCTGGGTTGGGGTCTCAGTGCTCTGAGTCATGCTCCACTTTCCACAAAAGATAATATGCATTTGCAGCTGATGATCTTATCAGTGTGTTTTCTTATCACTATGGGATCCATTCCAAGCCTCCCAGTGGAGGTTAAAGACCCAGATTGAACAGAACTCTGTATTTACTATGTTGTTTTCCTATACATGCATGATAGAGACTAATGTATAAATTAGGCCCATTAAGAGATTAACGACACCTAATAATAAAATAGAACAACTGTAATAAAATTTATGTGAATGTGGTCTCTCTCTCTTTGTGACTTTATCTCAAAAATCTCATTTTTTACCATCTCAGTAAAAGAAACATTCACTGATTCCTTTTGGCACATCTGAATTGTCAACATCACTACTCTTGTGTTTTGAGGGTATTATTAAATAATGCAGGCACTGTGATCACACGTCAGCTGATCTAATAACTGACATACCTACTAAATGACTAATAGGAGGGCAGCATATACAATGTGGATACTCTGGATAAATGAGTAACTCTCATTCCACATGGAACAGAGTGGCCCATCACAATATTTCTTCACACTACTCAAAACAACTTATGACTTAGAATTTACAAATTCTGTACTTCTAGAATTTTGTATTTAATTTTGGACTGCAGTTGACCTTAGATAACTAAAACCATGGAAAGCAAAATCACAGATAAGAGAAGACTAGTATATAAATCTCATTTAGATTGAGCTGGCAGTATTTCCTCAGGCATAATTTTTTAATTAAGTTTGTGGGCCAGATTTGTATTTTCACCATGTTTCACTCTGTTAGTCAAGCATTTATACATAGGAATCTTTTCTTAATAATCCCTTCTCTATCTTTGGCTTTCACCAAGAAGGCTGGAGGAGATGTCTTATGCTTTCCAGGGGCCACTTGGTTTGACTGAATAACATCCATCTCTTGGAATCATTCTTTATGTGGCTGAATGCATTAAGAGCTATAGAGTCACATACCCAGCCTTTTCTCCAGGCTTTTGTCATCCACTTCTGACTTTCACGATTTTTGCTATCTGGAAGAGGCTGAGAACTCTGAAACTCAACAGGTCCTTGGGTCTTTAATAATTCATCCTTCACTTTATCTCTCTTATACCGAAGTTTATCCCATTCATCGGAAAGAATAAAATAAGCATCTTCAACACTGTGCTTGTAAATTCTTTAGTTTCACGTCTAAGTTCATTGCTTATGGGTCCTGCTTTCCACATCACTGTGGGACACATTTCACTAAACTTTCTGCAGCTGTATAACAAGGACCACCTTTCCTCTCATTTCTAGTAACATGTTTCTTACCTTCTCACTTTCTTCTTTGCCCTCACTGGTGGTATCCTTAATGTGGGACTTCTGACAAGCTGCTCAAAGTGATGAGACTTTCTTTTTTTTTCTCTCAGGTGATTCTTGCTTTCTCTTCAAAGCTCCTTACTTCCCTAGGAGGCAGAACCTTTACCACCCATGTATGAGTCACCTAAACAAGGTGTTTGAGTTCTTTCCCATCTATCAAGCTAAATCGTTGACTCCAGACTCTCTTAGAGAGTCACATCAACACATTCGGGCTGACTGGGGGTCATGCTCCCTTCACCTGGGGGCCACCTTAGGAGCCATCCCTGCACATCTTCCCCAGTTTCCTGTCCATACAGACTAGGAAAACACAGTGCTTCCGGTGAGTATCACACCTTTCCACAGGTGACACCTTGCACATCATCTTTAGGGCCTGCTGGGACTTGAGGCCAGTGCCGGGCCTGCGGGTTCTGAGGAATGTGGGCAGTGCCCATAAGGTACAGTCTCGGGAGAGGCCTCTGAGAGTGTGCAGGCAAAGGGGATCATCTCAGACAGCAGGCTGGGCTGCTCCTTCTGTTGTATTGGCCCCCACAAGATGACCCCTTAGTTCAGTGATTGGCAGAAGAACTCCTGGGGCTCAGTAAATAATTATGCTGGCTGCTTTGGCTGACAGCCTCAGAAGGATCCAAAGTAGAATCAGCAAAGACCAGGGACAAGCCATGAGGAAGCCAGGAGCAGGCTCTGAGAGTCCTCTCCTAGCACAGTCATGTAGAGCACTTAATCCCCCCAGCACTGTGATACATCATCCGCCAGAGCAACTCAGCCTTCAGGACCAGGGCTTTCACTGCAGGCTGGTCACACGAACACCTTCTCCTCAGCCCAGCACATACTGAAACTCAGGAGAGCAGGTGTCCATGTAAATCAAATTGTTTGTACAAACAGGTTAAGCAACAGGAACAACCTTTATCACTTAGGGAGCCCTCCCAAAATCCAGGCTGATTTCTCAGAAATCAACCAAGGGCTAATCTCACAAGCAGGCTTACTCTAAGGAGAGCAGTCAGACCATGTTGAACTCTCTCTCATGATGGAATTTAGGAATTTGAGGTCCATAGCTTCAAAATCCCCTATTCTCATTTTCAGAGTCCCCTTCCTTCCCAATCAGTTCTCTAGTAATAAGAGAACTTGTGAGGTTAGAAATTCAGTTTGCATAGTATTTCTGCCATTATACAATAAGATACTAGATTTGGTTGGTGGCTACAATCAGGAGGTACTTCTAGCGTTTGGTAGGAAGAAATTAGAGCTACTAGACAGCCCACAGAAAGAATTCCCCATCGCTTCACATAACTTAAATGCTGCCTAGACATTCAAGTTCATAGAGAAACATGTTTCCAATGATCTGAGGCTAGAGCCTAACACTTCACATATAAATATAAGGGATATTCTTATATGGTTCTAAAATACATTTGAATTTCCTAAGAATATATCTGGGGTGTAAGATAAGAGGAAACATCTTTATTTTGCTTGGAACTTTACCAAGAGTAGTTCATCATTTCAGACAATCACATACCTGATGTGATGACAAAACTATTTGTGGTAGGTGAGTCACAAAAATAACACCTGCATAATTAGTATATATTTGGGAGCTGAGGCATTCAAAGTGATTCTGTGTGTGTGTGTGTGTGTGTGTGTTGTCTGTCTCTGTGTATGTTTCAAGATGTCAAATATAGACAAAAATTTTTCATTTGAATACTGACTCCTCTCTCTAGATTTCAAATCCAAACTTACTTAATTAGGTACAATAATTGAAGCGCACACCTGGTGCCTCCTCAGCCACATGTGGGCCCTTCTTGTACGTGGTGTTGGTTTCTTGAGTGCTGAAAGTTTCTCGTACGTGTATCCACTCCAGAATCCCAGACCCAAGCAAACATTGTGGATGCAAGAAGCCAAGTCTGGTTGTCAAAGAAAAGCCTTGAATATGGAGGAGGAATTAGAAATAATAAAGATATTGTGATATCACAAGAGGATGACAAATATAGAAATCCACACTGCACAGCAGAAAAACAGCTTTGAAAACAACGTAAAGTAAAATAAAAATTACAGTTATCAGCTGCCTTAAGTGCAAAC